TCTATCTATCTATCTATCTATCTATCTATCTATCTATCTATCTATCTATCTATCTATCTATCTATCTATCTATCTATCTATATTTGCCAGCAGTTAAGAAATAGAACAATAGCCGTTGCAACCATATAATTTATAAGCTTCCTTAATAAACCTGTAACTGTTTAAGCTTTAACCTGACTCCTTCAGTTGCTGTAACAGAACCAGGCACAATTTAAAAAAACTTCAGCAGGTCTTAAAACACAGTATAGGAAGAGCTTGAGTGTTTGGATTTGTGTCACACCCAGGTGGCAGAATCCACTGGGGCACTTCTCAGCCTTCCCCAAGGCTGCCCGCTGCGAAGGAATTACGAATTCTAGCAGCTGAAATCTGAAGTGTAATAAGCTCTCTCTGTACACTTATTGGGCGCCCGTCAGCCTCCTCCAGGTTGCCTGCTGCAAGGGACCCCGGTCTCAGCAGTTAAAGTCTCGGGTGTATAGCACACACACACACCACCCACTGCCCTGACCGTCAGCTGACATGTGGCCACAGCTAACCTGGCCCTTTCACTCCAACCACGGGGGAGGGGAGGCTTTGAGGTTTGGGCCCCCCACCAGTGAGGGGCAAGGCAGGGAGGAGGCAGGGCAGCTGAGAGGGGAGGGGCTGTGGGACTGAAATAATGACATCACTGTTGTCCTGCAGGAAAAACTTTTTTAAATGAAATAGAGGGAGAGAAAAATGTTGTATTTGTAAAGCACTTTTCATCTAAGGTCCCAAAGTGCTTCATAGCTGCTTCGGTTGCGATAGGCCCAGTGTTATTTGACTGTTATGTTCATGGCATAAAAACAGGAGTTGAAAACAAAACCCAAATACTCCCCGGGCAGGGTGCAGAGCAACTCTGCTTTATTTGTAAGAATCCAGAATCCAACACACCAGAGGTAAATGCAGAGACACACCAAGCAGGCTGCTCCCCGAGGCAGAAGAGCAGAACTCAGACCACCTTGCTCTAGGCTGGTCCTTCGCAGACTGACTTCAGAGGACCCAGATGCGCACTCCCTGCACAGGGCCCTAGCCTGTAATCAATCCCAGGAAACATCTCAGTATTTAAAGTGTCAGCTTGTAACTTTTACAGTTTTCCATAGACCCACTAATCACTTAGATAAGGATCCTCTTATCAGCCATTGTGCCAAGGCCCTGGGAAGAGGAATTTTTATTCTCAATTTCCAGGCTCAAATTTGGTTTTTTTTAAATCCAGCATTAACACAATTTGGGCCACTCTCTCTCGTGTAGTTGAGTCCTTGTGAGCTCAGGAGAGTTGGGGGTATCAGGAAGCTGGTCCCAGCTCTCCGATTCTGAGGGCCAGTCTGTTCTGGCTACAGCCTTGGGATCACATAGAGTAGCATAGGGAAGGGGAAATCTGTAAATTCCAAATTGCTTGGTCAAGGTACAATAAAGATCCAGACACCAGAGGAATGAATAATAAAAAATGATCAAATAGGTAAATGATGAAGATTTCAGGTCCACTAGATTGGGCCACAGTCCATCTACTGACTATCCCTGACCTAGGGGATGCTTGAACTGACACCAGTGGAAGGTAGGAGTAGCAAAGCAAAGTCTTCTACCCCACCATACCCACTCCCATTAAAGAGCCATGTTCTTTAACCTGGCTAAAGCTGGGAGTTTCACTGGCTTAATAAAACAAAGGTAAAAAAACCCAACGAATGGTCTGGTATCACTTTATAGACTAACAAAACATGGAGATGGGTTCATGAGCCTTTGTGAGCACAGCCCACTTCTTCAGATGTGCCCACGAAAGCTCATGATCCCATCTACATGTTTTGTTAGTCTACAAAGTGCTACCAGACTATTTGTTGTTTTTTAAGTTTATTTTGTACAGACTATTTTTCTCTAAGGTTATGTCTACACTTGCACCCTATTTCAAAATAGGGATGCAAGTGAAGACATTTGAAATTGTAAATGAAGCCAGAATTTAAATAGCTCACGCGTCATTTGCATATTCGCGTTATGGCGCTATTTTGAAATAACACGCTGTTAAGATGCGGTTATTTTAAGACAAAACCCTTCTTCTGAAATAACTGGTAAACCTCATTGTATGAGGAATAAGGATTATTTCAAGAGAAGGGTTTTCTCTCGAAATAACCGTGTCTTAACAGCATCTGTTATTTTGAAATAGCACCATAATGCAAATATGCAAATGAAGCACAGGATATTTAAATCCCAGCTTCATTTGCAATTTCGAATGTCTTCATTTGCATCCCTCTCTCGAAAGAGGGTGCAAGTGTAGACATAACAGACTAACTCAGCCGCCCCTTGAAGCTTCTAAAACAAAGGTGTCACACTTCTCTGTGTATTTCCCTGGGAGATTCTTTTAACCAGTCACAGAGAGCCCACTGTCAGTGCCCTGCCTTCATGATGTGTGTGTTTGCTCCCATGTCAATGGCACTATCTCTTGCAGGGCTGTTTTTCCCAAGGGTCAACCCTTGGATGGTGTCTCTGTGGGTGATCCTGGCTGTGCTGGCCGTTCTCATCACCCTGGCTAGTTACTGCTCCTGGAGGCAACACAGAGCAAAAGGTAAAGTAAGGAAAGGGGTGGGGGCCACAGGGGTGTGGGGGGAGGGATTTAAAAACAAAACCCAATGCAGAGCTATCAGGATTAAGGTGTTCTGATTCAGTGTTTGGAGGAGTGTCAGGCATTGGAGCCGGGTTGAAGGTGAAGAGGGAGCTGAATAAACTGGGACTTTGTCTGAACCGAGTCATGTCAAGTGGTTTCATCCTTCAGATCTCACTTGGGGAGCCTGATGGAATGTGATTCTGGACTATTCCCTGGGGATCGGCATTGCTCAATTTAACACCATGTGGGACTCAGTAAGCTGGGCTTGGAGCGCTGACATACGGGACCTGGGAGTTTGCAAGAAAACTGGAAAGCGAAGCAGGAGAAAAGAGGAGTTTCTTAGGTCCCAGTCCTGTCCCCTCCTCCCCAGTTAGGCCTGCAAGTAGGAGGTGTGGGTGGGCAAAGCAGTGGCTGTGCACATGGACATGTTAGCAGTCACGGTGGTTATACCCGCTACAGGACAGGGCAATTAGCTCTTTACTGCAGTGTAAGTGCTGGGCAGTAGTTTTGCCTTGGTCACAACGGGCAGAAATTGGCCTTCAGTGACCTGCGTATTTATAGGGAGCCAGGGATTTCAAAGTTGATTTAGGGGGCAGAATACACAATTCTTGGTCAAACTAATGGGCACTGAATGTGCAAACCCCCAAGGCAGCTGGGAAAGTTCCCCCTACCCCACACGGTTTTCTCTGCTGAATCTCTGTGAGCTTTGTGTAGAAATTTGCACACGCCTGAAGAATTGGCTGCTACTGCAGGTTGGCTCTGAATGAATCTCAGGTACCTGCCTGTCTTGGTAGTTGAGCAGCAGCCTCTGGCAGCCTATTGGGGGACAGGAATCCACTCCCCCAGCTACCTGTGTACCCGTCCTCCAGCAAACGCCTGCAGCCTGCTGCTTACAGATTGCCTTACACCCTCTTCCCTGCACCCCTCCTCTCTTCCTTTTCGGGAGGGGTGTGTATGTGGCAGGGTGGCTATTGCTCTTGTGGCAGGCAGGGTTCAGTGCACCCTCATTCTGGGCCAGGCCCCCACTTCTCTTGACCTGCTTTGTTTGCAGGCAGCTTCCTCCCCCCACCTCTTCACCTCAGCTAGCTGTGAGGGTGGGGGGCTCTGCTGCCCTTCACTGAGGAGGGGGGAAGATTCCCCCCTTCCATCTTCTTGGGGGTCTACCTGGCCCCTTTCTTCTTCCCTACCACAGGCCTGGACTCCACCTTTCCTGCTGTTGTTGCTGATCCCCCTGGGGTAGAGGAGGTAAGGGGGCTGCTTCGGGGCAGCTCCTGGAGTCCTCTCTTCTGACAGCTTGCTCTGTGTGTGTGTGTGGGGGGGGAGTTTTTAAGGGCCCACTTTCAAGGGTTAGTAGGTGGTGGCTGGTGCAGCTCTTGTGGGGCACTGGGGGTGGGTGGTGGTTCACCCTCCTCTCCCAGTACTCCTGTATTTCTGCAGCTGCCACTGCTCCCTCCCCAGACTCAGTTGCTACGGGGGCCTGGTGGT